ATGATGACGGTAATAATGACGATAATAATGACAGCACTGATGATGATGATATTAATGTTGATGATGATGATATTGATGAAGATATTGATGATGAGGCAGGTGGTAATATATCAATGATGAATGATGATGACGAAATTGGCGACGGCAAAGTTATGAAACGGTAATGTTACGATTGAAAATTCGCGGAAGAGCAGCACTCTACTTCAATCGTGAGATGAACAAAAAAGACTTTTTAACCCTCACTCCTTACGAAGGGTAATCAAGTCTATTTGAACGATGATTATTAATGCCAAAGATGATTCCAAGGTGATGTAGATAAATCACGTGATGATCGTGAAGATGATGACGATGATACCATGTGACTACATCTTTACATACTTAAAGTTTTAGTAAATATAATCTCGAAGAGTTTTATTTCTAATTGCACTTGGAAGGAGTGACTCTAAGTGATTGAGAGTTTAAGATCTCTTTGGCCACCTTTGAAACGGAATAAGTTGCGGAAAACATCAGATAAATGAATCAGGATTGACGTTTAAAAAAACTTAGCGAGTGAAGCAGTGCCTCCACCTCTGAAGAACATCGTTGTAGACTTGATGCKTATGTTAATAAAAAAACGACAATGAAGCCGTGAAAGAGGTCTTATTAACTCAAATACTCTGCAATTGTTTACCCAATCTATTAAGTTAGTAAAAGTTTCAAAAGAAAACTGTTCTGTACCTGATTCAGAGAGTCCTCGTATCTCTCATTAACAGCCTTAAGATCTGATTCTAGATGTCGTAATTTATCCTCTTGCATCGCGCCCTCTTTCTGCTTGTCTGTTAATTTTTGCTTCAAGCTGTGGATGTTTTCCTCGCAGTGATTGACCTATGAGAAAATAAAAGAAATATCTTTTCAGTATTAGTGATTATTAAAACGCTGAAAGGTTTAGTTTAGATTATTTTGCACAGAATTATTGATAACTTAATGCTTTTACAGATTTTACTACATAAATGCATATATTATTTTGAAACTAATCAACGTTTCAATTTTAAGAACCAATATTCACTACATATCAAAAACCCGATAAAAATGGACTTGTATATATGTGTTAGGCAGTGTCTGCATGACATTTAGTTAATAAGTTAATAATAGATCCTTTTTAGCAATTTCTAAGTGATTCGTCATCAATGTTATAAGTTTTTTTTCAAGAAATTTAGATATGCCCTGACATATACCTGAATAGTTTTGAATTATCAGGAACAGTTTGGAATTACCAGCAATGTTTAATGACCAGAAATACAATATTGTAGAGCGAATATTACTACCAATTTTTAGAATAATTAGAAAATGTTCAAATATCATTTTATCGTATTTTTATAACCTATTAATTTAGTTTAAGTTCATGACGTAGTTCAAGTTTAGATAGAGCCAAGGTCGTCGATCCAGAGCGGCGAAGTCCCTTAGTAAAGAGCCATTCCATAATTGGTTATTGTTTATAATTAATATCGAACAATTATTTGAGTTTTGTCTAATTATGTAAAACATATATAGCTAAGMAGTAAGCATTTCGTAGTTAGTTGCGTTGTTGAATTGAGCTGAATAATTTGAATCAGGAAGCGGAATGAAAAAGACTTGCAAGAAAAAGCTAAGAGGTACGTTTGTACTACCGATTTTTTCGGCGATTTTTGCGATCATTTTGATCACAGAAATAATGAGAATAACGCTAACGAATTAACTTTTAAACGTTTCTACTTATTCAGCAGACTGAGTTGAGCTAATTAAACGTCTCCTCAGAAGGATAAGACAAAATTTATTTTATTTCTAAAAACCGACCGAAAAGTCGCAGCAAAAATCGCCAGAAGTTTCGCCAGTTCAAACGAACTTTAAGCAAAATAATGAGTGAAAACAGTGGCAAGGACTTTGAGGTAACATAACTAAAAACCAAGACAAGAAAAACGTATGTAATACTAGCACTAAATATGCTTAAAAAACGTTTATGACTTCGTAATACAATCAATACAAATTACTCAACTAATGATCTCACCTGGTTTTTGAACCTGTCGCAAGCATCTTTAGCGAGTTTCAATTCYCGTTCTAATTCTTCCATTGCTCGGCTTTGTCTTTGAGTCTGTTTATGAAAAAAAAAAACCGAACACGTTTCACAATCGTTTGACACTAAACAACAAAATCACATGTAGATACATTTTCGACGAGCCTGAGATCCAAGCAAAATGAAGCGACTTAATTACGAGATCAAAACAGCAAGAAGAGAAGAGACGGAGAGAAGYTTGAAGAGAAGCATTGATATCCAAAGCGTTCCTTCGGACAATGAAAAGATGGACTCCAACAGACCTTCTCAAAACAGACGCCGTAAGGAAACAATACCACACGACGTACAAAAAGCATTTGGTCTTTGTTAATAGTTTAGCATTCGTGTTAAGCGTTATTTAATAAGCAATGACTCAAAGCTATCACCACAGTTATTCGACTAAATAGTAATTCCCCACTTCCCGAGGAAGTGTTCATGGGCCCCGTTTAAGGATTCAAAAATACAGAAATCGAAGCTACTATATATACAGATAAAAAAGAAATCAACTMTGAATGATACACATTCTCAAAAAATCTTTTTAAATGCTTTGGAGTTAATTATTTTATTYAACGCTTGATTAGATGTATGTCTTTATAAGAAATACCGATAAAAAAAAACCATTTCAATCAAAAAATTGATCGTTGCCATAGTCAGGTTGATCAAGCTGAAAATGGCATCTTTYAAAACTTCAATTCCATCTGATCTTGATTCAAAAATCAAATTGTACATAGGTGTTGGTTAGACGCATTAAATAAGTTAAATGAAAATAAAAGGTTTTATCAAAACACAACTACAGTTAATTGTAGTTGAGGAAATTTAACCTTAATGATTAAAAAATTGGATCGCCAAGTCTGAAAGTATACTGGCATGGAGTTTGCACATCGGGTCTAAATAGTCTCCTTCACGGTTACCTGCGCCATCTTGAAAGGTAGCCGTGCCTTTACATCGAAGGGAGACGACCTTCTTTCACACCTACAGACAATTATTTACAGGTATCTATCATTGCACGCTCAACGGTCGTCTCGCTTTGATGTAAAGGCACGGCTACCTTTCAAGATGGCGCAGGTAACCATGAAGGAGACTATTGAACGCCATCTTGAAATTCGCGAGGAGAGTGGGCACGAACGAATATATCGTGATTTAGCAAAATAGCCGACTTGCGAATTACGCATCAATAGTCACATACAAAGGAATCAAGACGAGGCGCCGYGCTTTTYTGTGAAAAATATATTGTCTTTAGCACGGCGCCTCGTCTTGATTCCTTTGTATGTGACTATTGATGCGTAATTCGCAAGTCGGCTATTCTCATGATTTCCTAGAATTTTGCAGGTACGCAGGTAGGTAAACAGAAACTAATTCACGTATTGATGTCAGACCATAAAAGGAACTAAATTGCTTTTTTTATTAAATTGATTYAAAACTGATTAATATCCCCTCAAACACTTCTTTCAAAATTATGAACATTCGAAATCCTTTTCAATTTATTCCAATCTTGCGTGATGTTTGGGAACCGGGTCCTATTGTATGAAGGGTGTGTAGCGCTATCCACAGTAGAAATCGTTATCCAGCAGATCTAAGGAGTGGATAACTTTAACCTGTGAATAACTTTATCCACCCTGCGCCTGAAATTATTTTGTTCTCTAAAAAGCCAACACACAAAGAAACAAAGCTTTCAGTATAATTATAAATAATTGATTGCTTCATTTAATCAAATCTATTCCTTTGTATCTAACATTGAAAAGTCTAAAGTTTGTTCGCGTTTTGGTGGCTGGATCTAGTTGTTCAAAGCTCCATTGGCGCTAATCCTACATTTTCTAAATTTTGGTAATGACGCAACGATTTGGCCAAGCCTTGCTACCAAGCTTGCGTCATTTTTAATTATAATTCAAGAGCAACATCAGTTTACTTGGCACGCAAGCTACACGAGGAAATAAGTTCTTGGTATTAAATCTAGGATTGTCGTTCGCTCAGCCGATATGTCGCTCAATGAAAATTTAACACCCTTTGAAGAAAGAAGYACTCCTGAACCGCCAACTACCTCTGGGCTTTCTGATCCGCCTCAGAACGTTTCAGCAGAAGCCTTGTCAACTTCGGACGTTGCACGTGTTACAGCTTCAGCAGTTCCTTCAAACTATAGTGGGACGTCAGCCCCTCAAACTAGCAATCTAACTGAATCTCCAAAGGTCTCTAAGGTATGTTTTTCAGACAGAGTTTAGAACCATTAATATTTTCTTCCTCAAACAAATCTTGTGTTTTCTGTGTGTCGAAGGAGGGTAACAGTTATTTGACATCCTCTTAAAATGAAGTTTAGAAACTCCTTTAAAATCCAAATCCAACAAATATCAAGATATTTTTGGCCGTTGTTTTGGTCGAATATCATATCTAAGTTGTACATTCTGAAGGTCTCCCCTACTTGAAGGTTGGACGAAGAGTGTTTACAGGAGAGAAATGTATGAAAACTAGTTCTTGAAAGACCACTTAAGAACCCCCAAAGATAATTTTACACGAGAAGATTTTCAAACTAAGCGACGTCATTTTTCGAGATACACTCGTTGCTTTACACAAGACAATTTTTTGGCTTCAATCTTGAATGAAAATACGCTGGAGGCGTACTACAAAACAAACTTTGTGCGACAAATCGTTTGTGTTCAAAGTATTAGGAAATGAGAAACCTTATAGCGAAAAATCGTGTTGAGTAGAATTAGTTCAAGCTTTAAGCGGCGTTTACACGAGCAATTTTTCCTTAAAGTTTCTTGACAAGGAAATATTGCCTGTGTAAATGGTCAACAAGTTTTCCTCGACAATTCTTCCTTGACAATGTTTCTTTGCTAGTGTAAACGAAGAACAAGTTTCTTGACAAGGAAAAATTGCCCGTGTGAATGGTCAACAAGTTTCCCTTGACAATTTTTCCTGGCCACATTTTTCTTGTTGTCCATTTACACGAGTACATTTCGTCCTTGTCAAGGAAAAGCGAACAAGGAAAAATTGCTCGTGTAAACGCCGCTTTATTGTTTAGTCTAGAGATGATACAATARAAGGAGAAAATCCAACAGTTCGTTCTCAATATGAATGATAATGAGGTGARCCTGCTAAAAACATCCTCGGAAACCAGAATAAAGTTTGATGTCGAAACAAAGAGTGAAATTCCAGTGCTTACTATTACAGTCAAAAGACGTGATAATGACAGAAAACAACACAGCATGTCCAGCTTTTTGAGACCGTCATTCCTTTCTCACGAGAAGGAACAGATCCAACCAAGTAAAAAACAGCATGCATCGACTTGTGGAAATTACAAAAGACCAGCATGTTTACAAGCGAAATACGAAGAAGAAGGCTTTATGAAAATCCAATCAATAATCCAATCAAATTTCGAAGTTTGAATTCAAATTTGATTTCAATAATGTAATGTTGAATCGACCAAGAATCGAATAATGAATTGAATAATGGTGTTTTGAGGGGGCGCGCCTCATGTCTTTTAAAAGACTGTAAAACCATTTAAGAGGAATCACAAAACGAAAAAGTACTGGAAGTACTGATTAAGCTAAAAGTGACTTTTTACCCCTCGTAACCGTTCTGTCCATTATAGGATACAAAGCTAGAGCCCGCTTTACCAACTTTATGAGTGGAAATCTTTCAAAGATGTTGAAAAGAAGCTTTCGTTGACATTGAAACATTTTCGTAGCGTTTTGTTTTTTTTTGCTTTCCGTCCGTAAAGGAATAATTCAAGACAAAAACGCAACGAAAACAAATCCTTGTCAACTGGGCCTTAATTGTTGCCTCATTGCCGCTTTTATGAATTGATTTTCAGTTCGATCCGTCGACTATAGAGGTTAATAAAACGATACGATGGCTAGAGCTTCGAGCTAATGGAAATGCAGTCCCAGGAAATGACGTCACCAGCTCTCCAAGACAGGTGCTCGCTGATGTGGACAGGGTTCTAAATGGTGAGAAGAGAGACTTAGAAACTCTTGTATTTCGAGACCCAGATAATTTCAAAGCGGGTGAAATACGTAACCATTTGCCGATGTGGCGTGAAATATTAAGAAATAATCCGAAGAGGGATCAGATTTTAAAGTGGATCGAACATGGGGTGAGCGTTAACGAGTTTATGCAACCATACAATTTTAAGGGCAAAATGTACCCCTGTCCTCCAAAACATAAAACCAGGAATAGTAAATCTTGCAAAAACTACGAGGAAAACGACATCACAAAGATGCTCACTGAACGCATTAAATCCGGCGCTTTCCGAATTTGGGGTAAAGTTGGAAAATGTCGTCCCCCTAAGGTAGTCCTGCCGCTAACGGTCGAGCCCACCAAACCTCGCCTATGCATCGATGCGAGGTTTCTGAATTTATGGATGAGAGACACGCCCTGTAGACTAGACAACCTTGCAACAGTGCCTCAATTCGTATACCCCGGCTCATACGTCTCCAAGATAGACGACAAATCTGCATATGATCATGTCTTCCTTACAGAAGCTTCACAAAAATACTTTGGGATCGAATGGAAGGGGTGGTGGCTTGTATCTACCACCCTCCCAGCGGGCTGGAAAAACGCTCAATTTGTTTACCAGTCTATTGGGGGAAGCGTCAGCACATTTCTCCGAGAAAGGGGCATCGCATGTAGCCTATATATCGACGACCGTCTCATAGGAGAAATGTTTAGTGAGAAAGGCCATTGGTCTGGAAGTATAGAGCAAAGAGAATGTAAATTAAGTCAAGAGTCAGCGGTAGCAGCTCTGTATGTAACCTGCAAAGTAGTAGTTAGTCTAGGTTATTTCCTCGGTCTTAAGAAATGCAAACTTGAGCCAACAAAAAAGATCACGTTCCTGGGCATGAACATCGACACGCAGTCACAAGCATTCTTAATCCCGGAGGACAAGCGGCAAAAATTCAAAAACCTACGGGAGGAAATCCTCCAGCATGAGAATTCTACCTCTTTACAATCTTTAAAGAAATTTAAGGGGAAATGCATATATTTTTCGCTTGCATTTCCAGGAGCAAAATACCACACAAGGCAAATGACAGCCTCTGTAGAAAATGCAGATAGAACCGGTTCAAATGTAATTCTATCGAAAGATTTAAGGCAGGAAATAGAGTTCTGGAGATTTCTAGATTCGTGGGACAGCCCAATTCCTTGGAGGAAAGAACAAAGTGTTCAATTAAG